TCAGATGGCAAAAGATATTACACTTTGTGAGTTTGGCTATTTTTTCTATGAAGATCTTTCCATCCACTTCAAACAGCGCTGATTTTTAGGCTGGTCAGTCTGAGAATGCCTAATGAGAAAAGTGATCATCTTAAGTCTTCTCCTTAAGATTTAATTCAAGCATGGGAAATCTTGCAGGAGGCAGGCCACAAAAGCTATACTGAAAAATGAAGTTGAAATGACATGCTAATAGACTAATAGGGAAGATGTCTATGATAAATAAATGTTTAATTGGAGAATATTCATCCACCGTGTTTTATGTCATTTGACTGATGTAGTTGTGCAAATGACATAAAAGAGATCATTTGTTTCAATTTATGTCATTTGCATAATGAATCCAACTTACTTTTATGTTTCATTTTTCCCAACAAATCACAAAATAACTTGTTACTTTCATATTAGCATTTCCACATTCTGAAATTTTTCCATTCACGTTCCACTTCCTTAATAAATAATTTACAAATACAGAAATTTATATATTTGTTTCTCCGTTTATGTGTAACTTGTTTTTCACATTTTCCTATCAAACACTTTGGCCTTCGATGCATGTGTTTTAAGATTATATCCATCATTGCATCATAGTCTATCTAAAATTGACATCAAATAATTTGATTCTAAACTACAAGCAGTGTAATCTGCATATACCTATATTCATATCCTCGACTAACACTTCTACTCTTACCCCAAGAATTCCTGTATTATTATTCCTATTATAAATAACCAGAGAGGGAAACCACATATTGTTACTCCCCGGTCAGTGCTGAACCATATACTAAGTATACCACTTATATTTATACATGTATTACTTTCATCACATAAAAGTCTTATATTCAGCAAACAGCCTTCAAATGAACATATTATCATTTGATTACTTTTTATGTTAATCCAGAAAAAATATTACTGTCTTGCTACTGCAATTTTCAGGCAAAAAATGGACAGCTTTGTGTCTGCCAAATAATGTGGAGTACTCTCCATTTCATCAGAATAATCTTATATCAGTTCTCAGAAGCTTCTGTTAATCCATATCTTTTAATTCAATTTATTAGAGGGAATGTTCTCATAATTATAAACTTGAATTAATTACTTCTAAAGCATTTCAAAGAAAAGATACATTTTATGTTGATTTATACTAAATGATGAAAGGTATAAAGTGTGTTAAGAAATACTTCAAAAATATTCTATCTAATAAATTTTCAGAAATAGACATAATAGATAAATTTGTTTTACTAGGCCAATAGTACTCGTACTTTTTTTTCAGATACTTACAAATTGTTAGAAATTTTCACAAACTTTTAAAACTTTTGTTTAAAAAAACAAAATTTTAATAATAATTTCTTTTTTTTCTTCAGCCCTGTCATCATTATCAAAGTCAATTCCCTCTGAAAACAAAACCCTTAAATCAGACTATTAAGAAGGATCCTATACCAGATCCTTATTTCATCATTCAACCATAATTAAAACAAGAGGTCCACCAAGCTCTCTGAGCTTGCTTGTTTTCTTGCAGAGGTTTCATCATCTGTTACCTATTTAGGGTAATGAAACCTTGCAAGAAACCAATCAAGCTCAGAGAGCACCAAGGACCCCTCATTTCAATTCTGAACTACAAATATTCTCCTTCATTCATAATCAGAACAAATTATGTCTTTGTCATCAGATAAAATAAGTCAAAAGCATGGACAACAATATAGAACAAAACGCTATATTAGCTACCAACTAGAAAAAAGCTATAAATATATGCTATTAAAGACAATAATAACTGGATACTTGACTTATCCTAATTGTGAGAACGTGCGACTGGCCCAAAGTCCCCCAGAGGGGTTACATACATGAAGATAGATTTGAATATGAATCTCTAAAATTAAATATTATTCAAAATTCATAATTACCTTTAGAAATGAAAATCTGAAAGTTTTCCTGACAACAAAAAATAACATATGATAGGAATAAAGTGTACCAATTGAGGCCTTCACTATTTTCTCCAAGGTATAGAAACAATGGTATAACTTTAGTATGTCTGTCAAGGAGCTTTCAAACAATTCAGCAATTTTCATAATGACACATAGTAGTCTTAATGACTATTTAGGAAATACTTATATTGCAAACTTAGTACCATATTTTCTGGCATATAAGACGACTGGGCGTATAAGACGACCCCCAACTTTTGAGAAGATTTTCATGGTTTAGAAAGTTGTCTTATACACCGGAAAATATGAGTACTTTAACTTTCTAATAAAGGTAATGTAAGTCCTAAACACATTAGTATTTCATTATATTTCATTGCTTGTTCCTGATTTGCTGAAGACAAATGTAGCTGGGTAACATCCCATAATAAGCATGGGGGTGCACTTGTGAAGCTTTGCAGTATATGAGGAACTGCCTCACCCCAATGGGACTAGCTGGCCCCTCTCATTCCAGTGGAAGCAGCCTAATTTGGATCCCACTGGCCAAAGAATTTCTGCTGCTGGGCTCCAGGAGAAGATTTCTGCTGTGCCCCCTCCCCCCGAATATTCTACCATCAGAGGTGAGATTCCCCCCCCCTCAGACACACAAGAACACAATCCTGGCCTTCTGGCAGAGCCAGAAGTTCCAGTTGCTGTGAAGCCAAAGGTGGGCTGGGGCCCCTGGTGCTGGATGCCCTGCAGTGGGGATGGCCCGATGGGATTGTTGGAGGCCGAGACTGCTGTTTTGTAGAGGCCATTGAACACCCCCGTGTTACTGATGCTGTTGATCTCCATGGCAGAGTTGAGGTCATTCTTCCAGGTGCAGGTCAGAGAGGACTAAAGGAGAGTGGGAGGGGCGAGGAAAGCGGGTTGTGGCACTAGCCAAGCCCAGATGTCCAACAGGTAGAGACTTTGGATCCATTTTCTCCGTGAGATCTGAAAACATCCTCTATTCCCACTTGCCCGACCCCCAAGGCTGCCCACACCGGGTGGGGCTGTCAAAGGTGGCTCATCCTAAAGTCTGTCAGTGAAGGCGCCTGCCAGACCACTTCTGGGACGACACCCCGCAGGCGGATCACTCAATCATCTGCGCAGCGAGAGCACCAGCCACGGCGGCAGGTTGCCAAAGAAGTGGCCAAGCTGAGTGTCCGTCTGTTGGGGTCGCAGGGCTTCTGGTGCTCAGCGCGAAGGCACCGGGTGCAGTCAACCCCAAGGAAGCAGCACCCTCTGCGCAGCCCACCGGCTCCGACCAGCTGCTCCTGCTGCCCACCCAAACAGAGGCTGGTGGGGGGGTTCCCTGGGGGAGGAAAAGCCCCACTCGCACTGCCTCCCTCCACTGCCCTAGACTTGGAGGGGCAGGATCCCCGCCTGAGGGGCGGACGCTTCTGCGAAATTGCTGGCCTTCTGCAAGCGCTGAGCAGCACTTCGGCAGCAAGAGGGGAGGGGGCACTTCTTCTCGGGAAGCCCCCACCACTGACCCAACATGGGCATTCTTACTCAGCTGGCTCTTCGCCAGCGCTCCTCTCCCACCATTGGTCCACCAACGCTCCAACCTCGCCCCGCTGTTTCTCGGAGGGACACTTTTCTAGGGCTATTTGGCTGCGTGGGACACTTAAACTCTCATCCGGACAGCCAATCCCCACACCAAGAGGTGAGGAGCATGGTGCGCAGGATACGGGGGAGCTTGCTTTGATGTACCATATTTTCTGGCATATAAGACGACTGGGCATATAAGACGACCTCCAACTTTTGAGAAGATTTTCATGGTTTAGACAGTCGTCTTATATGCCGGAAAATACAGTAGTTCAAAAGCATGAATATGAGAATAAATAAATACATACCACTTCAGTACGAAGGTAACAAGAGTGCGGTGCACCTCAACATAAAGTCATGCTGGCCACATGACCACAGAAATGTCTTCAAACAATGCTGGGTCCCTTGACTAAGAAACAGAGATGATCAACTGGACAAGAAAAACCTTTACTCTTTTAATGGCTTGCCATACAAGATAATTACTTGCACATAGCTAATGGAATAGATCCATTGTGTTATGCTTGTCTCTAAAGCTATAAATATTGTAACCTTTTTAATCCTGTCATATATCTTGGGAGACAAGTCCCACGATATGATAGCTAAATATTTTTCTCCTTATTGGTTAGCTTCCTTTATTCATAGCGCATAGAATAAATGATACATAAATTGTACTTTGTGTGTGGGGAAATCTGAATAGTGAACTTTTTGAATCAGAGGATGATGATATAAGAACAATGGATTCTCAGACACCTGAGGTTGTTTTGCTGGAAAGGCTGCCTCTGAGATTACCATATCAAAGGTTAGTTAAAAATAACTTATCTAGGGAGTCTTTCAAGTACAATTTCAATGTAAAGCTCATCCTTGGGGGATAAAAAAAATTGCACATAAGGATTAATCCAAGGTTGCCCTGAGATTTATCTTTGGCAGGAGTTTATAAAATGGAGAGAAAGGCTTGGCCATCGCAAATAGGTACACACACAAAAAGTCAAGATTAATAAGACAAGATTCTAATTAGTTCAAAGTTAATCTTTGAAGTTTTCACTGTCAAGAAAGGCAATTAAAAGAAGGAGTGATGTGGATGGCATCCTTTCTTGTGTCACTTTGGCTCAGACTTAGCAAGATATCTTTAACCAGTCACTCATGCTTTATCACATATTGTGGTAAAACCAGACCTATATTTCACTAGGAAAAAAACTGCAACTGAGAATGGTCCAGAAGGTATAGAACAACTTGCTTTCAGATATCATTGCAAAAAGTATTTCCCTATCACTGTCAACAGTATATTAATGTGGAAACAGATGACAAAATATCTATCTGAATAGACTACTAAAATGTACTAGGCATTTTACATATCTTTTCCTTTTGCTTATTTTATGTATATATTAAATACTTTAAATATTAAATATTATTAAATATTACATTGAATGTAAATAAATTAAATTCTGCCTGTCCTGTATTTAAATTTTGCTTCCTTGCTTTTCTTCATAGGGTTGGAATTGATACAGATGAAGATCAAAGGATAGAAACTGCTATTGAGGCAAGTTAAAATTTAAATATAAATATTTGAAAAGAAATTTATATTGATATGTGTGGAACTGAATGCTTTAAATTTTACAATATGTTTTCTAAGATGCTCAGGAAAATCTCAAATTCTGATCCTAAAATCAGGAAGTCATATATCTTTTGTCATATATCTTTTGTACATTCACCCAGATTGTAAAATAAGTTATTTTATTGTTGATGCTGAATAATTTCAGTTTTGGTATTTTAATAGAAGAAATCCATTAGCTGTTTCTCATTTCCATTTCTGAAGGCATTTTGGAAAATTATGATCTTTGTAATCAGACACATTTATTATTCATAATCTAAATTTTGAGAAATTTCTTAAAGTTCTTACACATTGCTTTGTAAAATTTCTGAATATGTCTTATTCCCTCCTTGTTTCTTGAGGACTGTTTTCAGCAGCCTTCCCAAATCTGGTTAAGAATTCTGGAAACTATAGTCCCAGAATATTGGGAAATAGCAGATTAAATACAGTAGCAAATATTGAAATTTGAAACGTAAACTTTATTGCAGCCAAATCCAGCCTATAATACGTATTCAGAGTATCTGTAGTTCCATCACAATTGGTAGTTAATATGGAACCAGCAACATCTAGACATACACAGATTGGACATTGTTTAGAGTCCACTTTGTAAACCCTCTTTCCCTTCCTCCACTCTTTTTTTTATGATATGCATCAATGAAATAACCCCATGGAAGCTGATGCCACAGTACATTTTTAGATCATAAATTCAAACCCACAAATGCTATAGATTTAGGGATATCATAGGCATCTGGGTTTTGGACAAGTAACAAAACATGTGTTGCAACTTTATTAGACACCTCTTATTTACTTTCAGGCAGCATCATGATCTCAGTACAAAAGGCAAAGCTTGCATGATGACATCCCAACATACATTTTGCATGTTATTTGATGTCATTGTGATTAAGAATACATATTTATTTTTGACATACACATTTTTCCCCTGCCAATTCTACACTGGGGATCTTTATTCCTAACAACCTGATGCCTGAAGCAGCTGCTTCATTCTATCCCAAACAGTTGAGTTGACCTCAAAGAAAAGGCTGAATAGGGAAAATCAGTTTCATGTTCTCTGTTATGAGATTATATTGTATGAGCGCAAATAAAGGGAATAAGATAAAATAAGAAGCAATTGCTATTCCTGTAATAGCACTATAGGAAGTCTTTGTCACTTTTATGGCTACTACTCTGGAAATAATTATTATACTCATATATTTAAAGTATAAGGGAATATCTGTGATATTTCTAATTTGTTAAATTCCAATATTGTCATAATTAAGAATGAAAAAAACTGAAATCCAATGGTAGTTGGCAGATTACATTTTAATACTCATGCTTTAAAAGTTCCAAAATGGTCTTGGTTGTTTTCACTATGTGAATGTTCCCAAGTATTGCATCATCAGTTTCTTTAAAGTGCAGCTATTCTTGAATACAGTGACCTAATCCAATTACTTTACACTCATCAAAGTTTAACTTTTTTCATGCCTAGCCAGATTTTCAGTTCTCAGTGAATTTATTACTTAACCTGTATGGATTAGTAGCTCATTTATTTCCACTTATTAATAGTTTTCATAATGCAATATTATGAGATCATCAATAATGTTCAGTAGTAATTAAATGCAGCCAATTCACTGTGTTTCAACTTTTCTAGAATACAAGGCAGCCTTGATGCACATCAGTAGAGAAATTTAGCACTAAGTTAATTTATTTAACTTAAAAGCACATCTTGCTTTTAAAAAAAAAATAAAAGCTTTTAAACTGAAAAGCATATTGAATATAAAATACAAATGGAAAAGTAAAATAAGTTGCAATCTTATTGAGAGCCTATACAGCAAACCTTAAAGCAAAAATAGAGTACCTTTCTCTATCCTGACAACCTAGTGAGGTGTTGGAACTATGATTCCCAGAATAGGATAGAAATAACCTAGCTTTTTGAAAAATAATTCCATTTAGACTTCAACTCCCAGAATTTCTCAGCCAGCCACATTGTAATCCAGAAATCTTAAAGTTGCTAAGGTTGATAAACATTGATCAGAATACAGAATAGAATAAAGGATAACAGAGTTTGAAGGGACCTTGGAGAACTTGTCCAACCTCCTGCGCAAGCAGGAGAGTCTATACCATTCCAGACAAGTGGTTGTCCAATTTCTTCTTAAAAACCTCTAGTGTTGGACCACCCTCATCTTCTGAAGGCAAGTCCTTCCACTGATTAATTTTCTCACTGTCAGGAATTTCTCCTTAATTCTTGATTAGTTCTCCTTGATTAATTTCCATCCATTACTTTTTTCCTTGCACCCTGAATAGATGCTTTGGAGAATAGGTTACCCCTTCTTCCTTGTGACCACCCCTTAGATATTGGAATACTGCTATCATGTCACCCTAGTCCTTCTTTTCATTAGACATAGGTATTGTGGGAAAAATAAAACACAGTAACTAACATTTTCTGAATAGACCGATGGTTTTCATTCCACCTTCTGGCACTGCCATAGCAGCACAAATAATGAAGATGTTTTATATATCATTAACAACTTTATAGTTGATAAAATAAAATCCCCACATCATACATGTAAAAATCATTACTCTGTAAACTGAAAGGTAGCTATCTTATATGGGTGAATTCCAATCAAGACATCCATAAAACCATAATCACTACAAAAAGGATTCAGTCTTTAATAACCATCTGCTTAATCTCCAAGACCAGAGATCCTGGTCTTTTCTGCCCATTCCATAAGATAGTATAGAGTCAGTATGCCGCAGGGAACATCATCCAATAATCCGATAATACTTTAGGATAGGGGTATCAAATTCGCAATGTCACGTAACGTGTCATGACGTATCATGACTTTTTCCCCATTGCCGGAGCTGGGGTAGACACATCAGGCCCGCAGGCTGGCAGTTTGATACCCCTGTTTTAGGAGGTCCCATTTACTCTGTCATGGTTCCTGTCCTCAGGAATAACATCCTCTGGAAATTTGAATAGAACGCCATCCTGCTTTTTCTTAAATGTGCAGGCTTCCTATTGAGTGATTTTAAAGAGTTTTAGTGGATATTTTCTAATATAAGATGACCATTCTCCTTTTCTATTTGTGCTTCCTTTTCTTCCTTCCTTTTCTATTTGTGATTATTTGCTTCTATTCCAAAAATAATTCGGAGTTATCAACAATTACAAAAGTTTTAGAAATGTGAATTATAAATAAAATTCTCAAAGTGCTGTGAAAAGGATCTTGTCAGTCCACTTACTAAAGTTATTAGAAATAATTAGGTATTATTCTGCAATATTGTTAGTATGAAACAGCTAGAATTATCTATTTCCCTCAACAAACAGGAATTCAGGGAGCACAGCTATCTGGTTGGCTGACATGTTTTAGTGAACCTCTTAAGGCACATTTTCTCAGAATAAAGATAGGCAAACTGATGCTCTTTTGCTCTTTTGGATGGCAATTTTTATACCCTTTAACATAATCCCATCATTCATTGTATTATAATTTGGAGTTAGGTTTCAATCTAAAACATTTAGAAAGCAACAGACTGCCTATTCTATTGTATAAGTGCTTTTATATATTAATTCTGGAAGAACAGTCTAGGTTTACTATTACTCTCAAGAAAAAAGTCCATTAGCTTTTGTGACAGACTATCATCTTGAAATGATATATTTTATAATAAGTGCAATTTATTTCACTATCCAGATTGGGAAATCATCATAATTTAGTATGATATAAACAAGAATAAATAAATCTCAATCTGACATATACTTTGTTTTTCTGCCTCCAGAACTTCTACACACTCAAGTAAAAGTAATATAAGTTTTTGTTTGACATATCCTCTGAACCAACAAATTATGGATAGTAATAATTCAGGTTTCTCTGAAACAAGATTTCAAGATAGCTTGTTTCAAATAACATTAATCAGCATTCATATTAATCACAATTTGTTAATTTGATCAATAGAGCAAGCCATTATTAAAAACAATTGGAAGCTTTCTAATTCCCAACTAATTGCCCCAATACAGAGACTATCTATGATCAGCTGAATAAACATCTGTCTTCAATTATACCCAATGTCCTCAAGAGCTTTTATGAAGTCTCTAACCCAGGGGTGTCAAACTGCTGGCCCGTGGGCCAGATGCATCATAGTGAAACTGCGCCCACCCCATTGCCGTCAATGGCAAACAAATCACGATACGTCATGACACATCACGTGAAGTTGCGAATTTGACACCCCAGCTCTAATCATAGGATTCTGTTATATACCAAATGTATAAAAGCCCTTCCCCTGATTTTAATATATTAATGTGTTTCTAAGAATAACTGCAAGTCTTAGTCCATTGAATGTGTTATTGGAAGTGTTATTTTTATAACTTTTTATTAGCACAAATATTTGCAAATTCAGCAGTGCTCTGTTTTGAAATGATTTTCATTTTACCATAAATTTGGTGCCCTTTTACCCTTGAGTATTTTTTTTGACACACCATGGATCTTCTTGACCACTGTTTGCACCTTTGCTTCAACAAAATATAGAAGATTTTTAAAAATGCCCTAATAGTAAGAGCCTTTGTTTTATGTACCATTGAACATAGGGACATTGTTTCCCAGCCTGATATCAATACAGGTGTGTGGTATAATTAGACACTATCCCTGATTGGGGAAGGTTGCAGCAGACTAAGATTATTGCAGGTATGTTTTCATTTAAAGCTGGAATATATAATTTCAAAAACAGGTAAAGCCAGGGCTCATTTGTTTGTTTTCTATGTTTCTCAGTGCTGAAATAGGTAATTTAAAGCTCTTCTGCATGGAATCTCTGTCATCTATCTGAAACAGATGCTGTTGCTTCTGGCTCTTGTAAGCCTCAATCCTCCTTCAAATAATTTACTGGGCAATTTCTCTGTTGCTGAAGCTGTCAGCTTCTCTCTCCTCCACTGGCTGAGTACTGCAATCTGAACCTGCTTATTCCTTTGTACCTGTAAACTTCCTATCCCTTGTTAGCAGCAGAGAAAGAAACCTTCACTGACCAAGGTGTTGCAGGGAGAAATAATTTGCACTTTCTCCTTTTTTGTTTTCTGCTTACTATAAGCATTCTTGCTTGCTTTAAAGCTTTGTCTCTTTGCTTCCTAATCTCTTCACCCTTTTCAAAATCTCTTTAATTCTTCTTCCTAGCCATGACACAAGGCTAAAAGTCTGCTCCATCCCTTCATTCTCAGGTATTTTTTACAGTTCTTTATCCTTTTCCTAATTATTCAGTTTCATTTTTTAACCTTGGTGTTTATTAATTCTACTTTTTTCACTAGCTCCAAACTGTCTAGTAGCAGATACATTCTCTCTTCCTAATCTCCAGCTCTTTGCTCCCTCTCCCACCTGCCATCCCCTGTTCTGACTTTTGGATTACAAATCCAGACTTTGGCACCCAAATTTTGAATTCCTAACTTCTCTTGGCAAATTCCTATCAGTTTATCCCAACCATCCATTCCCATACAACCATTCGGGTTCTATTTATTTGTGAGGTTACTCTTCTTTCCTTCAGAGATCCAAGACAATATTAAAAAACACACAAAAAAACCCTCTAAGTAAGAATGATCATTACACCATTGGGTTGAGAAAGTATAGTTTAGTAGAAACCAAGTGGAATATCGTAGTGCAAAGCCTAAACTGAAATTCGCATGCCAAAAGTGAAAACTTTTCCTCCATAGCCACTTCCCATTGCTGGACCCCTATTGTCCAATCTATTTCAAAAAGAATGTTTTGGAAAGGGCCAGTCTGATTATAGTCTGGATTGCAGCTGCCTTCTTCTCATTACAGAGCAACCTTGAAATGCCATCTAGAACAGGCACTTTCACTTTTTTAATTTCACTTTCCCCTCAACTGCTTTTCCTTCCTCTCAGGGTTCATGGCAGACTGGTACCAAAATGATTGCAGAGTGCAGGCATGAGGTGGCAGTTCTGACACCCCATTTATTTGACAGGAACTCCAGGGGCTATAGAAGAGATGTTGGCAGGCTGTATGGGTTGCCCCACTGTTTTCAAATATATCCTAAAGAAGTGTGATCAAAACATGATCTGTTGTGAAAAGATAATGAAAAGGTTGATATGATCTTGGAGATCTCCTCAAAGTAAAAGGAAAGATAAGCATTGGAGATTTTTTTCCATTCTAGAAAGTCAATGCTATGCTAAGGACTTAAAGATCGTTATTCATTTCAACTGGATATAGTTAATTGCATAAAAATCAATCAAACTATGTTATTTGCTTTATGCCACATAAGGTAGAAAAAAGTATCTCCTTTATTAGTTTACATTGTAAATATATTGGAGCAGATTTAATTTCTGTAAAAATTATAACATAAAACATCCATTAATAGTTTGGGTTAAAATGCAGAGGAGGCTATCATTTTAATCCAAAAGAAAAACAATAAAATCAAAATCAGTTATTGTGCATTTGTTGCACACTGCAGAACTATTCCCAAAATATTTAGAAAACTGTCCACAATGTCATCTGTATAAATTAAATAAGATTAAATGACATTAACAAGAGGAAAGATGATATAATGGACATGCACATTGGCAAGATGAAAAATGTGGGAACTTTTTCAGTTGGATAATCTATGGTATCAATAAGTGTAGAATAAAAATACAACACAGCAAATTTAGAAGCTAATTTATTCCAAAAAAACCACCCTAACTTCTTCCTACAATCATAGGAGAGAGCATGAAACTTAGCATAGATCACATATCCATGATTAGCATTGCCAGATGCCACACCAGGTGTAACTCAGAGATAGGAGTTTGCAAGCACCCAGGAAGTGAAAATCAATGGTAACAGAAAAGGAGTATATTTAAGAGAGCTTGAACAGACAAGCTGTGTGATTTAGATCTATATTGAGCAGTCATGCTGCTGAAGCTAAACTAATTTGGTTACTGCCTAGGTGGAAAAAATTCTAAAACACAGTGTAAATAATTTTGAATTCCATTAGTAAAGATCGATAGAAGATAAAGGTTAAAAAAGATAGGTAGTTGTATTAATATATTTTAAATTGTTTCTGAGTATTGTGAGGAAAGATTAAAGGCAAAAGGAGAATGGGATGGCAGAAGATGAGATGGTTAGATAAAGTCATCCATGCAATGATCCTGCATGGCCTGCCACAGTTCATGGGGTGACAAAGAATTGAACATGACTTAGCAACTGAACAACAATTGTTAGATTAACTGATTTGTGAACCTTTAAATGTGTACTTTTAGGCTATATATACTGTATATATTTATTTGTTGGTAAAATGTAGACATTTTTAATTGAAAAGAACGTAATTATCACAATCATCATTTTAATTTTCAATATTATTGCAGGTTGTAAATAACTTGGATAAAAGCACAACCAAAGCAGAAAGCGCTTGGCTGTTCAGAATATGGTATGGTTTTGATCATAGGTATCCTACTATTCTGTTAGCATTAAATATTCCTAGTAATAATTTCATCAAAGGAAGAAATATCAATGAATCTGGTAAGATAATGAGAACTTTTCATTTTAAATTCTGTATAAAATTGTATTATTGATATGAAAAACAAATAATGGCTGCAAGGAAGCCTCAAAATTTGGGGAAAGATGAAAGATACAAATATTCAAAGTTTACCTAACCTAGTAAAAGAATATTTATATTGATATGGACAAATTAATAGCACTGATATTGTTTAAAAAATCTTATTTGTTGTTTATTTTAATTTTAAAAAGGAGGCATAATAATACGGCAGATTTTTGAATGCAATGGATATTCCCATGATGGCTTAAGCGAACCCTCCCCAATCTGATGCCATCTGAATGTGTCAGCCTTCAGTTTCCATTATCTCTAGCCTTTAGCCTCTTTAAACACAGGCTGAATGATGTAAGAGCAGTCCCCAAAATATTCTTTCCTCTAGTTGGAAATAAATTAACATAAAACATGGTGGCCTCATACTGCCCTTCCAGGCATAGCAAACATTTAATTTGCAATTCAGAATAAAGAAAAAAGGACTTAAACATTAATACTGTACCAACTAGATCAGAGTAGGCTTTAGAGACCTCTGGTGCTGATTCTATTCCTTCTTCAGAATGGAAATCATTAACTGTGGATGTTTTGAAGGACATAAAATAATCTATATATCATTATAGGCAGAACATTCAAAATATGAGGATGTCACATTAATTGAATCTGTGCCTCTATCTATTTCAAGGAAGGGGGAGGGAAGGGCTTGTGTGAATAAGAAAGTGTGTATGTCCCTTTCCAGCAAAAGAGATGGCACACGCTGTCTCTTCTTTAAATGTACAAACAACGGAGTAGTCCTCCAAGCAGGAAAGGTATTAATATAAGGATATGCAGCCTTGGTCAGACTAGGGGTAAGCTGAGCTTTTGAATGGCATATCAAGGTTTACAGTCCATAAAATGAGAAGACTGGGACAAGTATCTCAAACTGATACTTAGACTTAAGTGATATTCAAGTGTAACTAAATATAATGAATTAGTACAGTAGATAGAACGGGCTTTTCAGATATTTAATAATTTTCTATTTGTGAGGTATTAAATATTTTAAATATGGCAGGAACTTTTAAAGAGGCTCTGTAGGCCTCAGACAAGGCTTCTATAGGTCATAAACAGCCTGGTTGTTCAAATTGTGTACTTCTACATTGTGGGATGAAAAGAGATCCAGAGGGAAAAACATTATACAACATTTCATGCTCTGTTGTTCCTCTTTATATTATTATTCCTTTTATTTAATAAACCAATTATGCTATAACAATAGCATAATAATATAATAAATAATATATAAATTTTATGCAATATAAACTAAATATTATATAAATTTATATGATATTAATAATATACCTTTTAGTTCAGTGGTTCTCAACCTGTGGGTCGGGACCCCATTTGGGGTCGAACGACTATTTCATGGGGGTCGCCAAACAAGGCTGTCCGCCATTTTTTTCCCCTTTTCTTTGGCCACGCCCCTGGTACCCAGTGATGTATAAGTGGTTGGGGGTCACCACAACATGAGGAACTGTATTATGGGGTCGCGGCATTAGAAAGGTTGAGAACCACTGTTTTAGTTAATCTGACTATATATATAAATGATACTGTATGTTTTTAAAGGCCAGATGTTAGAAAATATGCAGAAAATGCCCTGCTTAGGAGTTTTCCTATGGCATCTGCTTAGCCAGTTCTGATACAGAGTACATGCTGGATGGATAATCAGTATAATCATGCAAAGCTACTTTTGTATTCTTAGGTTGTCTGTTTCAAAATATAAAATACACCTGATTTTTTAAAAAATAACAAAAAACACAAATTGCCAGGGATAGAAGAAATACAAAGCTTCATAAAACCTGTCATTTGAATTATGAAAGACCCAATGATGTATTTTCTCTGAAAAGATAGCAAAATCTCTGATAAAGATTCCTGAATTATGTTTTGTTCATCTCTGGCTTTCCCCTCATAATGCTTGAAATGGGCAGATGGAAGTCATATGGCAGGATTAGTCTGCAATATTAAACAGTACATAACTGAGAATTTATGATAGGCTTTTTATCACTAATTAATTCCCCAGGTTCTATTTCAAATCAAACTGTATATGCTTGATAATATTTTGCAAACTGCACTTGAACTGAGGACAATTTTGTATCTAACAAATTGATTCTCCTTCCTGTCATAAGTATGAATCTTTCTTTAACATTATTTAATATAACAACTGACCTGCCATTATCGTACAATTGTGTTTTCATTTTCACAGATACACACACTGTTATACATATACATAAACATATTTCCATTGACAACTATATGCCTAAATCCTTGAAGATATTAACAGTTCAAGTTACTATTGCCAGGATTGAGAGATCTAAGCATTTTCATATGCTAAATCTCATTCTGTAAAAAGTCCCAGCCGCTTAGAGGCACATCAGTCATCCAAATGAAATGCTCCTGTAATCTCTGTGCCTTCTTTTAGTGATAATATGAATTGTTTTCTGTGGAACTCAGAAGCATTAAGCAAAATATTTATCTCGCATTATTTAAGAAAGGAAAGCCTTTGTGCCTACTCTTTCTCCAGGTAACGTAACTGGAAAACAGTGCATGTTGTGTTTGGAGATAGGGAAGGGGTTTTTTGCTTAGGTCTGATCAAGTTTATTTTATTTTATCCATTTATTTATTTATTACAAATATTTTACGCCACTTAAATTAGGCGATTCTGACATTAAAATACTTGCAAGAAATCGAATGGCTCTTCCTTGTTGCACATTATCTTTATACTGTATATTATTTAAACTGGTTTACTTCTATGCTATGTTCTGGATTGTATAAGATCTTATTCTCTCTGTTCAGATATGTGCAGGCATCAGTTTAGAGGTGGGGATTCACATCTTTAAATCTCCATATAAAAATCCCATTAATTTAGGGCTGACATATTGTAGCTAGAGAATCACTTTAGTATATTGTTTACAGGTATTGAGCTAGAAACTGGGAGAAAGGGACTGCTTTGGGCTGAGTGACTTTGGGCCAGTCTCTCTCTCTCTCTCGCTCTCTCTCTCTCTCTCTCTCTCTCTCTCTCTCTCTCTCTCTCTCTCTCTCTCTCTCTCACACACACACACACACACACACACACACACACACACACACACTCACTCTCACTCTCTGTGTCTCTTTTTTCCTAAGAAAAAGGCAGTGGCAAACTATTTCCAAAAATGTTGCCAAGGAAACTTCAGGGACTTGTCTAGACAGTTGCCAAGTATCAATAATGACTCAAAGGCACTGTAAAATAAAAAGAGCTAAGCTAAAATCTTTCACTCTAGCTTTTTGTCTTCTACGTAATTCAGAGTTCCGCTGAATCCTGCAAGCTCTTGCTTGTAATATCAAGTAGCACTGTCCAAAATTAGAATTATGGTTCATGTGATCTATGAGAGGATAGAGAACATTTTAAGTTATAGTGGATGAATGAAACGGGTACCAGACTGTATATCCTTTTAGTCCTCTCCAAATCTATCCTTTCCTGGAGAAAAAAATCTGTGTGGTCACCAAGGATCAACACTGACTTGAGGGCACATTATCAATGAACCAATCCATATTTTTATTTTTATGATGTATATCATCCTTCTATATATAATATGGGACTAAAAGCAGAACTTTTCTCATGGGACTGATGGATAAAAAGTTGGGCAAAAGAAATTATGGAACTATATGGAAGAATAGTTTGTTGAATAAGATGGAAGTTGCTGAGATGACCAAACTGATTTTTGGATCAGAGAAAAGACAATTATCTTCATTTATTGCTGACTGGAAACCCTTGTGGATTTTTTTGCATAAAACAGAAAAAGGTGAATTTACAAATCTTTGATAATTAGATATAATACATTATAGCAAGAAGAGATGTAATTTTAGAGAAAGTGTTAATTCTACAATTACACTTATAAGTGTTGTAAAAAAAAGATCAGAAGCCACTTCTTTATATCTTTTTGTTTTCCATATTCTAGCTTTTTTTTTTTTTTGCACTTTAGCTTTCTTTTATTTCTTTCTTTTCTTTTTCCATATGATATGTGGGATAGCAGCTCATATAATTTTAGACCATTTGTTACGGGATTTGTATGCTGAAAGCTTCAGCACCTAAGAAGAAGAGGATTTATACAGATATATATTTATAGGAATTTTATTTTCTATTTTAAAATTATATTAATATTTTGTGGCTATAAAACTTATTGTGTAGATATCACAAGTTTTATACATGAATCTAGAAAAAACTGTATATAGTTCTTTTATCTTTTCTCAAATTATTTCCTACTTCCTCTATTACTGTTATTTTATCCCATTTGAAGAAATGAGATAAAACGTTTAGAATATTCCTGAGACAGTGTCGCTTATCTTTACCTCAGAATTGTGAATTAGGATATAGTTTTTTGAGAAATTTTAAAATCTGTCACCAGACGTAGCTAGAGAAATCTGTATCTCCTGAATGCAAAGTCTTGAAAGCAGATCTTCCAGGGAACAACTGCTAAAGTATTCATCAATTCCTATACAGTATGTTCAAGAATTCAAATGTGAGTACAATTCTTTATACATGGAAAAATTTAGAAGTACTCCTAACATTTCCAACTGAACAAAAAATTCCTTTAAAAAAGCTAAAGTCATAATTTCTGGACACATCATGCCCAGGCAGAAATTTGATGTTACAATGGTGCAAAGTCCATGTTTTGAAATATCAATATTCAGTATGGAGAGTTACTAAATATTTTTTGTAGTTTAAGAGGTTGTACAGTATATTACTCACATGACAGTATATAATTTATTAGTTTTTGTTCTTTTTTGTATTTATACAAAGACTTATACAAGTCTTCCCTGGATTTAATCTGAATTTAATCTGAAGATAAAATATAAATTTTGACAGTTTAAAATAATTTTTGTGCTCTGCT